TCCCAGAACGATTCAGTGGCAGTGGATCTGGGACCAGGCTGAAGATGCAGCAGATTATTACTGTAAGAGTTGGCACTATATCAACAGGAAAGAAATATTGAAATATCAAATGATCAAATATCAGATGCAAAAAAAATGACAAATACAAGAAAAAAAATGAAAAATCCTAAAAACCACATACTGTATATACAGAATACAATATGATTCTAGATTACTTCCAAAGGGTTCAAGGCAGGATACACTCTGGGAAGCCAGTCCATTGCAGGGCAGACAGACACAAACAATCACACCGGAGTCAATTTTCCCCGCAGCCAGTTATTCTACCAGTATGTCTTTGGAAGGTGGGAGGAGACCAGAGCACCTGGTGGGAAACCCAAGCGGGCCTGGGGAGAACATGCAAACTCCACACAGTTATCATCCCAGAAATTGAATCCAGGGCTCCAGTGCTACCAGGCAGCAATAACACAACTCAAAAAATCATTCATACAAACTGTATTTTTACTCACATAAAAAGGTACTCAAAAAATATGCATAAAAGCCCAGTATTATTCAATTTATACCTGTAATCTGCCCATTTTGCTTTAACGTGTCTCAAATATACAGTATATAACATTTCTTAATTTAGGACAGATCAGTTCTGACTGTAACAGGCTTGGTCGCAGCTAGTAACAGGTATCTTTACAGAGAGAGTGAGACCGGATGGGCCCAGTTGCTCTCTGGGACGAACAGTGTCGCTCAGGTGACACACAGGCAAATGGTCAGTCTCTGCCTCAGAGTGTCCCACAGCTTTTAATGTCTGCCCTCTCCTTTAATGTTATGTCAGTATTTCAAAATTCCTTCTGTCTGTTTCTGCTTTACTGGTTTTGGGGTACACTTGCTTCTTTTTGGTGGTCGAGCCTCCTCGTCTGATCACCCAGAGGCTTCCTCTTAACCAAGCAGATAAAACCAAAACTTTTTATAATTAAATGATCAAACATCTGCAAAGCACCTGATTCTTGGATGTTGGTATTCCTTGTGAACTATGCAGTAGGATCCCTGATACAGAATGTCTGAATGAGAATTTCTGCAGCTCTTAGTTTCTATAAGAACGTGTGACTCTTACCTAAAACAAAGAGAAATGTGATCAAAAAGTGTCGAGATTACTTACTATAGTCTTGAGAAATGTAGTCATTCAAATACAGAGACCATATTAATATTTATGATGTTTTCAGATTGACAGTACTGGAAAATGGGTAGGAACATAAAAATATCAAAAAAAATATCTGTCCTTCTGATCTATTTCCACAGGTCTGCTGTGTCAGGCTGTGAGTCAAGACCTTCGAAGCAGCTATGTGCTTCTGAATTCAAGAGTTTTGGAAATAAATCAGACCAGAGGAGGCGTCCAGGTTGCGTACAGACACAAAATGGACAACTCGGTCAAAATGACGGCAGACTCCCTCCTGTTCACCGACAGGGTCAAGGTGACTCTGAACATCAGATTTAACCCCCCTCTCTCTCTGCACAAGAGAGAGGCCCTGCGGAGCGTCCACTATGACAGCTGGACTGAACTCTTCCTGGTCTTCAAGGAGCGGTTCTGGGAGAAGGAAGGGATCTGCGGGGGCAAGTCCGTCATGGATCGTCCGTCGATCTTTATTTACTACGTGAGTGAAGCGCTCGAGAGTGGGGTCGGGCTGGTCTGGCGTCTCACACCTGGTCGGACGACTCCCTGTTCTTCCTGAGGAGGAGCGAAGAGGCCTGCCAGGAACTGGCGCTGAGTGACCTGGCCGCCATCCACGGGGAGGGCGTCCACGCTCTGTATGAAGGCGTGCTGGTGAAGAAGTGGAGCCTGGATGAGTCCAGCCTGGGTGTCTTTGCGCTCTTCATGCTCTTCCAGCTGACGGATTATCACCAGGACCTGCTTGTGCCGTTTCAGAGAGTCTGCTTACTGGGGGAACACACCGCCCTGCTCCACATGGGGATCGGGACATCCAGGAAGTCCACCATGAGGGCGGCCCAGCGTATGAACGACAAAGCATCTGCCAAAGTCATTCATCAAGTAAAGATGGAGCTTTCAAAAAGCCTGCAGGGCCTCTGGGCTCTGCTTTCCGAAGCACAGTGATCTCTCCAGGCTGGAGTGCTGTAAGCCCAGGCAGGGCCCCTCCAGAGATCAGAGCCTCACTGAGAGTCATTCTCACATTTCCCTGGGCATGAAAATAAATCAGAGCAGTGGCTCCCAGCCCCGGGGCTGCAGGAACACAGTCTGCTGGTTTTCATTCCAGCTGAGCTCTGCTACTCCAGTGCCGGTTCATAACGTTATTGATATTCTTGCTTGTTCAGACTTTTATCAAACTTCAGTTGTGCAGCGTCAGCACATAGATCTTTAGGTGGCCTGTCCTCAACTTGCCGGCTGTTGATTCTGATTAAACAGCTCTTACTTGATGGTGAATTGTAAATGAACAGAAGGGTGGGAGTGATGTGGTATCAGACATGCCTATAGCAGGAGTGACCCTATATCTGACCCGCTAATTTTAATGAGGGACACTATTAGAAAAGCACCCACAATTGGAATGACATTGAACATGCCCACTTTGAAGCCAGACAAGGTATGAGACACGCCGAAAAGAGGATTTTCACTCAGCAGGTCCAATTGGTTACATGTCAGGTGCCACAGCGAAACCCTGAAACAGGTACAGATCTGTAACCTATTACAAATCTCTGTAATGACAAATTACATTTTACCTTTACCTTACAAATTAGCCTTTTGGAACAGAAAGCAAATTTACAAATGTGCCCAACATGGAAAACTTAAATCAATCAGCCTGTGATTAAGAGCTTGTCTGGGTCTGAAATAAACAAACACAGGGGGTTACTCAAGAACCAGTCCTGGGACCCACTAAGTTTCTGGGCTGGGAAGAGGAGGCCTCCAGCACCTCTGTCACACTCACATTTGAGAAGGAGTGAACACAGAACATTCCTTACTGAAGAGAAATTCTAAATCTAGAAAGCTGTTAGGCATTGCTGTCTAGTTGTGAATATGCAAACCTCATTTTAGCAGAAACTATGGAAAACCTCTCTATAAACATTATAAAGCTGTTTTTTTCCTTATGTTCTTCAGGTGACTGTGCTGGTGAATATTTTATTATATTGCATATCTCTTCTATATTATCGTGTAATTGTTTCACAGCATTTACAGGATCCTCTTTTATAATAGTACTGTAGATATGTTCATGGAAATCTGCAAATATTATATATAGGGGCAAAAGACAAGCTATTTCTATGCAAATTAATTTGCAAATGCAGTATTAGTCAGTTATAGAGATTGGAGGACCTACGGTACATCAGTAATATGATTACAGTGCCCAAAAAAGTATTCACCCCCCTTTGACTTTTTTACATTGTTACAGCATGGAACCATAATGTATTTAACTGAGAATTTTTGCCACTCATCAACACAAAGTACTCTATAATGTCAAAGTGAAAAAAAATAGACATTTGTTGTGCCAAACAAAGAGCATCAGCCGAGGGTTTGTGTGTTGAAAATCATCTTTATTTCATATGCATAAGGGAGTCTTGCTCTTTAACGCAAGACTCAAAAGACAACACTTACAGTGCTCTTTTATACAGTGAAACAACCGATTCAAGATACACTCCCACGTGAATCTCTGCTTACATTGTGGCTATATATGATCATTCTAGAAAGCTGACCAGTACATATATTTTCTTTACTGCTGGGTGACAAGCAGCCCCTTCTGCTTGGAACTGAAAAGACCATTTTTTCCAGGATAGGTCACTCCATCATTTCCCTGAGAACTATGCCAGCTATGTGTAAAGATACAGTATGACTGTATTATCTTTTGAGACAAGACATCCTAAGATGGAGTTAGTAAAATATAAGTAAAGAAATACATAGTCAATGAGATATAATACAAACTTTTAGTAAAAACTTGTAGTTCATTCCCTCATAACTTACAAAAGATGTCTCTTTAAAAACATTTTAATATCTGTTCCACCAATGACAGTCTTATATAGAAACAGAAAACAACCAACTAAGTACATATTGCCCAGAATTCATCCGTTCCATTTACCCCATTTGGTAGTTGAAAGCTAATTGATCTGAGGATTTCATACTGCTCTTTCTTGAAAGAATTTTCAACAACATGCTGGGAGGCTTGTTTCAGACTCTCACAGACCTTTCAACACCCTTGTACATCTGAATCTCCATCTTAACAACCAACAGATGAGCCTCATTGAAAGCTTGTGTTACAATTCAAAGAGCCATCACTTTTATAAACTGACACATAAATATTCCATGAATGCTCACTGTTTCCAGCCGAAGTCATCACCCAGCCAGTCCAGTTCCAGATGACTGCCAACACTTATCCAATAACTGCTGATCCTGTGAGGCTGAGATCCTGTCTTTGGATGGCTGAAAGTCCTGTATAGTTGATGTGTGAAAAGTGGCTCCCTCACTGCATAACTCCACCAAACCAAACCCCCATTGACTAATTCCTCTGTGGCCCTCAGGACACCTTGTTCCCTAGGAGCAGTGGGTGGCCCTGCTGTCCTATACAGGGGAGTGTTTACACACAGCAAGAGGTGAGAGAGAACCCCCTGGACTCATTAGATCAGATCAATTCATGAAAATTAGCAGTTGAACATTATTTAGACTAATTCTGTTTTATAATGTAAATAATTATATTCCTCTGGATTTTTAGATTTTTTTAATGCTGAAATAAGAGCAAAAGTAGAACAGATCTCAACTACATGGCTGAAATGAAAGAAATAAAAGAAAGAAAGAAATGAAAAAAAATGATTCAAAATAAACAACAGTATCATAATGAGAACTTCAACAGGAATTAAATCAGAATAATTAATAGCATAGGGGACAATCCTCTCAACTTGCACTAGTGCCCACACCACAGATGCCATCTGACTTTGACAGGATTTGAATTCAGGAAGATGCTTTGCATACCTTTGCTTTAAAAAACAGCTGTAATAACTGTGCTGCTCCATTGCTCAGGGTTTTAAAGCTGACAGTTCAACTCTTTCAGTCACACAGAGAGAATGTCTTCATTGGGGCTCCTCCTCTGCACACTGCTACTGCTTGCTCAAGGTACTGTAGGCTGTGTTTTCAAACCTCTTTATTTACTTAAATAAAAATAAAATAATATAGCTGAATCATCTTCAGTAAAAGGAATAGAGCGACTGTAGCAAAAAATATAGGTTACAATACCTCTGTCAGCAATGTTATTCAGATGTATTTTCCTGGGTCATTAAAATGATTTTCTTCTTTTCTGTCTGTTTTCAGAGTCCTGTAGTCAGATTGTCATGACTCAGTCTCCTACAGTGAGGTCTAATCTCCAAGGAGAAAGAGTCACTCTGAGCTGCAAATCTAGTCAGCAGGTTTATCATCTGAGCTGGTACCATCAGAGGACTGGAGAGGCTCCTAGACTCCTGATCCACACTAAAGACACTCGAGCCTCTGGGATCCCAGACAGATTCACTGGCAGCTACAGTGGAGGCAGCAGCAGTGGTTATGGGACTGACTTCACTCTGACTATCACTGGAGTCCAGGCTGAAGATGCAGGAGATTACTACTGTTTGCAGTATGATAGCTTGCCTCTCACACAGTGATACATGTCTGTACAAAAACCTCCCTCGGCTCTACAGGAGCTGCTCTGGCTCATAAACAGGAACCACAGAGAACTGAGGCTGAGAACAGCTGCTGAGCCGCTACAGTTTGACTGTAAATGTGCTGGAGTGCAATCATTACATTCTTATTTAAACATAATGCCATACGACATACAGTACTTTCTATACATAAAACGTTTCAGAAACACATAGAACAGATCAAAGGAAGAATGAATTGGAAATTGTCCCTAAACTGCCAGCTAGAGAACATTATTTTTGGTGTGTTACAATGAGCTTGAAAGAAAGAATAGCAGTCATTCAATATTATAGCTGACATGTTCTCTCTAATTTTGGAATCTGAAATCAGGATTCAAGTGAAAGATGGATTTGTGAAATCTGGTAATGGTAAAAATGATATACACTATGCCAGTGGTTCTCAAACTTTTTGGACCAAGTACCACCCCTGATCAAACCAAAACATCCAAGTACCACCTACAAGTCATCTTCTCATAAGAACCCCAGAAATTTTCAATGACCAACATGAGCACAAGTGCACACACTCACATACACATATTACAAATATACTGTAGCACTGAGCACTTACCATTTCAGCGAGAGGGGTGAGCCTGTTTAGTCGAGCAAAACAGATGTGAATTCATTGGTTGAGCCTTGATACAATTCACAACTTTGACAGCAGAGTCTAACAGTTTTAAAATCCTCGGGCATTTCCTTGATGGCCAAGGCCTTGCGGTGGATGCTGCAGTGCGTCCACTTCATATCTGGAGCAACCTCTCTCATTCGTGCAACTACACTGCTGTGTCTGCCTGTTATCACTCTAGTACCGTCTGTACAAACTCTGATGCATTTTTTCCAGTCAAGGCCATTCTCTTCAATAAATTCATTCTGAAGCTGAAATATGTGCTCTCCTGTAGTTCCTGTTGGTACAAGAAACAGAAAGTTCTCATGAGACATGCCCTCAAACTCGTATCTAACGTAAAACGAGCAATTGGCCAAATCAAGGACATCTACAGGCTCATCTAATTGCAATGAAAAACATCTTCTCATCTTAACGCACTCTATCAGCATACTTTTGACATCATCTGCCATATCAATAATTCTACGAGTGACTGTGTCATTCAAAAGGGGCAGCAGGTTGAGCTGTTAAGCTGCTTGTTCTCCACACATAATACGTGTCAGCTCTTTTGCCAACGGTAAAAAAAGTTCTTCACAAATAGTGTGGGGCTTACCTGCTTTAGCAATCCGCAAGCTTCCATTTTTCCCCGTTTCAGTCTCAGAAGTTAAAAGAAGTTTTTATTTCATGCGCATGGGAGTGAAATACAGAGACGCTCTGAGTATTTTTCTCAAATTAACCTAGAACAGTCTTTAAATATTTTTCTATCATGCTTTTCTGTGCTCACAAGGTTGCCATTGTTCACATTATCCTACCTCCCTATTTGCTGAAGATAACTCTTTTTAAATACAATTGGTCACTTACTGTACATTCATAGCATGCATTCCTATACAATGGTATAGAATTCCATAGTAGCTCTTGTGTCCACTCAAGTATTAGCGTGTGCTGTATCGTAGTACATAGGCTGCGTATTTGACACATAAACTCATTTTATTAAAATAGAAAATATGAAAACCCGTCCTAGGTTTTCAGTGCTCACAACAAATTTCTAGGGTCATCTGGCATACCACCAGGGGGCGCTCCGTGTACCAGCAGTGGTACGCATACCACTGTTTGAGAACCACAGTTCTAGAGAATACAAATGTGTTTCAAGGTTGTTTGAGAACTGCAGTATGCGGTTTTCCAGGTTTGCAGGTGTGGTGAAGCTTTGTCACTCCTTTGTTTCCTCTTCTGCAACTGGGATTTTTAACTATATGTGCTTAAAGACTTTGATAGAGGGAGGAAACTAAGGGAGCACATTGCTCACATAAAGGAAAAAAATCATATAATGTAGTATTTTGTAATTCCAAATCTTCTAACTGTGAGATAGTAAAGTATCTCATTATTACAAGATAGTCAATTATCTCATAATTATGACATACCAATGATCACTTGAGTGTATGGATAGCCTATTACATTGTACACTGACAGCACCTAGAAGCTACCGAGAGCTCAGCTGGAAGGTTAAGGATAGTGTTTGTAACAGTGTTAAATTTTGCATGGACTTACTTTCAACTAGGGTTTAGTCACAATTAAATGTTACAATTTTGATTATGACTACATTTATCCAGCAAATGCATCACAATTGCCAGCATGTTGTGGAAAAACTAACCCCAGCAATACAGTAGCTCTTCAAAACCAATGCAGTTCTTCTTCTCGCCTGAAGATGGCTCCACAGCCAAAATGTTGTGCTTCTTTTCCTTACCTATGGAATGGTATGGAATGAACCTTTACCTCCTCCTTTGTCAGAATTTGACTGGTTGCTAAGACCTCCTGGGAAAACTAAGGCTGCTGCTGGAGGAGGTGTAAGTGGGACCAGTAGGAGGC